AAATGCATAATGTTTACCTTCGCATAATATCTGCTCAAACACATTCACATATATGGTGACAGGAGTCTAAATCCCTCCTACTATAAAATTGCAACATTATGTAACCCAACACCAGTCACCATGGTGACAGACGGTCTGGTTCAGGTCATTGACCAGGTCAGTGTTTGGAACGGAAGAAGAAACAGTGCAAAAACAATATATTTTCCTTCGGTAAACATAACTAGTGGTAGACGTAGCCTGTTCGACAACCCCCGAGTGGCCTCCCAAATCAGACGTAGGAGGTTTAAATCAAAGTTTATATATATATACCTACTTGATCAGACTGACAATCCGGAGAGTACCGAGACCAAAACCCTGGACAGTTTCTACCAGATTGAAGAATCTAGGAATATAAAACGGGGTCATAGTTCTAGACAGCTAACCTTTATCATGTAGACTTGTTATTTTATACTCTATTTCATTGTTCTTTTATGTTTTGTAATTTGCAATTAGGCAACACCAAGTAAATTTTATGGATGACGTCCTTTGGAGACCCTAAATCTAATGCGAGAGGGCGAAAAAAAACACAAGAAGGGCCCTAAAAACAAGATGCCTAGATTAGAAATATACTAAGAGATGACAAATGTTGGACACAAATTGAATGAGGTGACACAGCGTAACAAGCAAGAAGTCTTTTATTCATCATCAAACCAGCAATAAATCAGATGGAACAGCAGTTGTCGTCCTGTCCTGTTTTTGCGTTACGGGTTTCACGTCAATCTGATGATTTGCGGCACTGTCGTGACTCTTTGGTCATAGTTACAGGAAGCGGAATTTCTTGTGTTTTTTTTTTCTAGAAACAGGCCAAAATCAATGCGCCCGCGGACGTCATCCATAAAATTTACTTGGTGTGGCCTTAGCCTCCGGGCACGAATTTGCAATAAACTCTTCTAGCTGATTGCGTTGAAACTTAGTGAGAGAGTTTCCTACCTGAGGAAATCAGTTTTCTGAACAGTACTGTAGCCCACTGTAGAAAGTTGCAGTTGAAAAAAAGGTGTAATGCGTACAATAGTCAGACTACACGGCAAATATACGCAATAAAAATCTGGTTTATTTATGATTTATCTTAATTCACTGCATGAATAAAATATGGAACAGGTAAAAATGCCCGTCCATGCATCCTTTCTTAAGCTTCAGATCAGGCGAAGAAACATGTTGAGAAAATAAAGCAAATGTAAATGAACAATAGTTTTTCATGATGACGTGTACAGTTGCGGATCAGTTTACCATGCATATTACATTTCAGGACACAGTATGTTGTTAAATATTTACTTCTGAAAGGTCAGGGGGCATGTTGGCTCACTGTCAACAATGAATCAGAGGCATCAGGTTCTTGAGATTCTTTTACCCCAATAGATTCAAATCTAATCTCATATCATATCAAAAGTGGTGCTGATTTCAACACGCATACAAAGTTTCCAAATTTTTTTCCAGGACTAAATTTGTCATCATTGCCATAGGAATATAGCACGGTAACAAAAATTAGTCAACAAGGAAATACTAAGTGTAAGATACGTCGATGACAATTAGACATCCAGGTAATGAGATACACTAAAAAAACTTGAAAATCTATATAGTTGCTTGAGTAACAGGATTCTTGTGTACCTGTATATAAGGGCACACCAATTTAATTTTATGGATGACATCCTCTGAAGACCCCCAAACTAGTGCGCGCGGGCGATTTAAAACAAAAAGTCAAGCCAAAAATAAAAATGCTTCTGAACCACAGGAATGCAAAGCTGGTACTGTGAAATTGCGGCAGTACTTAGCAACGTATACGTCAATACGGCATATGTTGGCTTTTTGCGAAATTTATAAATCAGTAATGTACATATGTACTTGGTTCTTGTGTTGTGGAGCTTCAGTAGCCTGGGTGCCATCCTCCAGAGTTACCACCGCATTGTTGCTAAACTACTATGGACTACACAGGCCTAGAGCCAGCAGGCAAATATCAATGCGCGCGTGGATGTCATCCATAAAATTAAGTCGATCATTGGGTGTGTCTATTCAGGTACATTGTATTTTGGACCTGTACCTGAATGATTTTTGTGGTACAGTACCGGTACTTAGTACCAGTATACTGCGGATGATGGTTCAGAGTTTACTGTTAGCTAACAGAGCCATGAGGTCATTCCGTGCAGACCCCAGCCCGTCCTTCAGCCCCTGGGGGAGGGGTTGTCCCGACCTTCCTGCCGCTGCAGCCAGGAGAGCGCCGAGGGCCGCCCCACGGTGACAGTTCTCACCTGCAGGACAGGAGGATTCGTTAAACCGGTAGACCAGAACAAGCTGTCAGGGGGAACAAAACTTCCACCACTCATAGTGACCAAATAAGCTACCTGCCACCAGAAAAAAAAAACTATAGCATGTCTAACATGTCAAACTGATTTAGTACCAAGGTCAGCCATCAGGAAGTCCATATTTAACCTTGAGTCTTGACCATTGTCTTTCCAAGACCTATCCATACATACTAGTACTATATATCATTACAATCCATAGAGGACATTTTATTTTGACGACAAATATGCAGAAACACACAGAGACAGACAAAAATACCTCCATTTTTCACGGAGGTGACAATATGCAAAGGCCAGGCACACCATGTCCCTGCCAATGTATGATTGAAATTGTAAGAAACAACAAAGAAGAAAGGAGGGAAGGAAGAAGGAAGGGAAAGAAGATTGGAAGGAAGGAAGGACTAAATGAAGAAAGGGAAGGAAGGAAGGAAGGAAGGAAGGAAGGAAGGAAGGAAGGAAGGAAGGAAGGAAGGAAGGAATTTGGACATTCTTGCCTTTGTGAACTAGACACAAAAACATCAACATAAATAATCATTACAGGTAGCATTACTGAACAGAGAAACAAAACAACTAAAGTTATGCCACACTACATCTATTGTTAACAAAACAGTTGAACACATAAGGCTAATGCTAATCATCAGATCTGTCATTAACATTTCTCTTCCCTCTTCTAACAACAGATGTATAAAGTATTATCTGTCTTACCTCCAACGTTTGTGTTAGTGAGTACTCCTCCCTCCATGTCATCGTGGAACTCGTGAGCGAGGAAGAACAGTGATGTGAGAGAACCCCTGATGTAACAGGCCAGGCCGAAGTGTCCCACTGCCTCCTGGTACACAGACAGCCGCATGTCTGAACCTTTAGCATATCTGTTGAAAACGAAATGTATTACTTGGTACATTCAGTCTGCCATGTAATTCTACATTAGTTACTTCTTCAACTAGAAGTAAAGAAATTACCTATTCTGTGGCTGTGGCTCTCATGAGATTTTGAAGTGATTGGTCACTAATTATCCAGATGAAGGCGACAGTGGTTGCTGAAAATTTTATCTCTGTAACCTTGGATTATGAATTTTGCCAACACAACATTTGAAAGCTATAGAAGGAATGTTATCCTTAGATACAGGAGCACTACTCAAGCAAGAGGTTCTGCAAAATTGGTATGCCCAATACTTTACATAGATTTGTATGTATACGTAGTATGTTCTGCTGATGTGCTACCATAACTTACTCACCCTGCAGCTTCAGATGAAAAGGCCTGGACCCTCTTCCACGTGCCTGATCCTCCGAGTAGGGGAGACTGCAGGGCTTCTGCTGCCTTCTCCTGCAGACTGGCACCATTCAGAACTGAAGAAGCAACAAGAAATCAGATATATCAGTGATAATAGTCTTACATATATTTTTGCAATTGGGTTTTCATTAGTGATGCATACCTAAACTCAATTTTAGGTTCAGGTCCGGATTCAAGTCCAGAGGTTTAGGTTCAGTTCCGGACTTGTAAGTCCGGACCTAAACCCATGGCATATACAAAATTGCATGTTGGCAACCTTGCAATGTTGTCTGGGTGAAACTTTGGCCACATAACATGGAGGCCGGTACTTGACGATGCCCGATGGCAATGTTTTCTTCATTTTGCAGCCAAGATTTTACAATCTACGGAAGGTTTTAGGTGGTTTGGAAAGAAAAATGGTCTTTTATAGTTACTGTAATAAGTCAGAACTCGGTTCTTAACTTTTAGGTTTTTTTGGACTTGAACCTAAACACTCTTACAAGTCCGGATCCAAGTCCAGTGAACCGGTATGCATCACTAGTTTTCATATATTGAAACAAACTTGGAGATTGTAGGACAGATCTAGAATCTGTGCAGGATTGAAAGGTCAGCTCAATCCCTTGGTGAAGGTCAGATTTTGAAAACTACATGTACAAGTCATGTCCATTTTTCTTAGATGCCATGTTAATTTTTCTGCAATGGCTCAATGCAAAATTGTCAACCTACATATGTACACAAAAAATCTACATTGTACAATCATGTTCTTTGTACAGATGTCATACATACAAGAGAAAACTTAAAGCTAGGATTCTTTCCACCACTAAAAATGTGAGACAAAGTGTCCTGCCAAAAATAATACCATCTACCTTCCTCCCAATTTGACTTGTGCTCCTTTCACCAGTGCAGTGGCCTAGTGGACAGAGTGCTCGCCTTGTATTTGTTATGTCATGAGTTTGATTCCCGGCCGAGACTTTAAAAATCGTACATACTGTTAATCGTACGCCTATATTGATTGCAAACCTGTAGTTTTAATATACTAATGTTTTGTAAATTGGTTTACAATTCAGTTGTTTTTAACTGTGAAGAACCAATAAATCCATCTTGAATTGAATTGAATTGAATATTGCTTTCTCTGCTTAGAACACTCAGCATTTGAGAAGAGTATGGGATCCAAATTACACATGTAAATACTAGCCCCCTGCTGTAGTGATTGCAAAACTGTGTGGCCCAAAGGCTACAGAAATGGAGATGGTTGCTGCCATACACGACTATGCCAATGGTTGGTTGCTAGGAGGACATTTTTTAACTCCTTTCACACTCTAACATTACTGACACATAGAGACATACATTGCACAACAGTTTTACCTGCATGTAGGGACTTGACGTACAACTCCACGTAGGGTTCTAGTTGTGATGGCGGGAGCGGATGGGTCAGTCGCACGAAATCGACCGTGTTCCGCACCGCCTCGGCCTCGGGCAGATGAGCAGAGTGCAGCACAAAGGGAACCGCCATCACGAACGCACCAATCACAGCGAGCTGCGAGTCCGCCCTCCCCGACGACTGTTCCTTGTATCGTTTTTCCGCAAATTTCATCAGTTCGTCTTTCCCGACGGGTTTGCCTGCGGGAATCCAGTCGCGGAAGAAAGCGCGGTGAAAGGATTCGGCGTAGGTGTCGTTATGAGAGCCCGGAGTTGTCAGGAAGGTGACATAGTCGGCCAGGACGGCTGAACGGAGGTCACGAGGTGAAAGGTCACCATCAGGGTCAACCCTGGCCATTGTCTGACACACTCTCAGGGCACACAGGGCGTTTAGGGTGTTGTCTCCTGCTGACATACCTGTAAACAAACAAACAAAACAACTGGTACATAACATCACTGAAATATTTTTAGTTGATTTTTAGTTATTAATTTTTGGTACTACACGTATTGTTGAAAACATTGCTGTTGCAATAGTTGAATAATTTTATAAGGTTAGTAAAAGTTTTTTTAAAGAAATGCCCCCGCCAAGGGGCCAAAACTAATGTCACTTCTTCCTGAAACACAAAAACTACATAGTATCTCCCTTACAAATTACTGTATCGGTATAGTCGGTATAACCGCCCTTTGGCGTCACACACCAGTTTAGTAAGATGTTGACCTCCGACAATAGCTAGATATTGAGAATCAAAAGTTCAGCTGCAGGACCATGACAAGCCACCAGCATGCCATGCATGGTCTAAACTTCCTATCAATCTGCCGAGTTTTATGACACTCCATCAATAGCTTCTCGAGTTATCTTCCTAAAGTTACCAAAGACATAACCTTTTGCCAAAGACTTGTGTACATGTACTTAGTAGTGTATGAATAGTTAATAGAAGTTGTTTTGAAGTTGTTTATTGCAAATTCATGCCCGAGGGCTAATTGCATACAGACATTGACAAGTCACAAGACAAAATGTGGTGATATAAGACTATTAGGTAACATGAAGTTCTACATGTTAATATACATGCAGAATGTCTAGTTACAAAGATGATGACCTTGGTGGTAGTGCACAGACGCCCCTGCTGATTTGGTCCAGTACTGCAGCTTGTCGTGGAGGATCACATTCCCGATCAGAGGCTCCTCCTTCTGCATGGAGAAACCTGAGCGGCCACTTCCGCCTGAATTGGAGGAAAAACTTCTGATTAAATATTTCTACATTTGTCAACTTTTAGTTCATCTAAAAATAATAATATGATCCTATGTAAACTTTAGCCTGCTAATTCTGTTTACAATACACACTAACTATAAGATTTTTGTTGGACTTCTTTTGGCCTTTGAGTTTAAGAATTGCCACAACCCATCAACAGTTCTAATAAGTCGATTATACATGTATGTCAGTATACATATGATAATACATATGATATGGGCTGATACCATTTTGTACAAGGGGTGTTCTGACAGTGTACAGCCGAGAGGGACATGATACTGGAGAGGTGGGGTGATACCATATTGTATGAGGGGTGTTTAGCTAAGAGGGACATGATACTGGGGGGTAATACCATTTTGTACAAGGGGTGTTAATCTGACAGTGTACAGCCGAGAATGACAATGATACTGGAGAGATGGGGTTATACCATTTTGTATGAGGGGTGTTCTCCCTGTAGATGAGAGGGACATGATACTGGAGGGGTGGGTGATACCATAATGTACAAGGGGTGTTCTCACCTATAGCTAAGAGGTACATGGTATTGGAGGGGTGTGGTGATGCCATTTTGTAAGAAGGGTGTCCTTGTCTTTAGTTGACAGGGACATAATAGTAGGTAAAACCATTTTGTTTGAAGGGTGTTCTCACCTGTAGCAGAGAGGGACATGATACTGGAGGGTGGGTGATACCATGTTGCACAAGGGGTGTTCTCACCTGTAGCTGAGAGGGACATGATACTGGAGGGGTGGGTGATACCATGTTGTACAAGGGGTGTTTTCACCTGTAGCTGGGAGGGACATGATACTGGAGGGATGGGTGATACCATATTGTACAAGGTGTGTTCTAAACTGTTGCTGAGAGGGACATGACACTGGAGGGATGGGTGATACCATATTGTACAAGGGGTGTTCTCACCTATAGCTAAGAGGTACATGCATATATGGTACTGGAGGGAAGGGGGAGTACCATGTTGTACAAGGGGTGTACTGACCTGTAGCTGAGAGGGACATGATACTGAAGGGATGGGTGATACCATGTTGTACAAGGGGTGTACTGACCTGTTGCTGAGAGGGACATGATACTGGAGGGATGGTGTTTCTTTGGTGCCACATATCCTGTCAGCCATTTCCCATAATCCCTCTTGATGTCGTCCGCGTCGTAGTACCAGTGTACGGGCATGGACAGGGCGTCACCAATCAGCAAGCCCCACAGACAGGCCTCCTTAGCGTCATGGAGCTTGTCCATCGGGCTGGTGAAGATGGTACCAAAATTACGTTAGGATGATACAAAAAGTCTGGTTTTACTAAAGTATTAAAGCTGAATCAACCCTACTCCTGACTATATTGCAATTAAGTGCCATTCACGAAATGGAGGTGCCAAGAATATACAATGTTTTGTATTTGTTCATTTTGTGTAGGTGTGCACGCTATCGATCAGCATACTTGCTGCCTAGTGCACTCCTTGTATTTTTTTTTTTCTTCCAACATGTAATCACCAGACGTGGTGACGGCACACTCTTTATCAACTTATATTATTAATGCCGCCACCAACACAGGGGACAAAATACATGACAGGACAATACTCATTTACACCTGAGCTAAGTGACAAAAGTCGTGTTAAGTGCCTTTCCCAAGGGCACAAGATCGGTGGCATGTCAGGACTCGAACCCGGGACTTCTAGGTTCCGAGTCGCGCACTCTGCCGCTACCCCACATGACCCCACCATGACCCAATAGCGCAACCACTCCTTGTATTGTTATGTTACAATTTTGAATAAATCCGAAACAGACATACAAACCCACAGCTCAGCTGCCCAAAACAATACTTCTGATACTTAAAAGTTAGTTATTTATTATTACTTATAATACAAACTGTAGTTACCTGGTGCTGGTAGTCTGTGTAGTCAGTCCTCTCCAAATGACCTCAGGTAACCCCGGTCTGTGACAGGTGGGCGTGGCAGATACTGCAGATTGAGTCTGAGGGGGAGGGGGGCGACAAAATTACACTCAAGGCAGCACAACACAGTATTAGCCCTATGGGGATTTCTATACTAGTAGTTAAGGACCCCAAAGTGACTCACTTCGACTCACTGAAAATCATAGTACTATTAGTAGGGTGCACAAGCAAGACTCAGAATTTTGATATGTTTAATTTCAGGGTATAGTGTACAAAATATGTGAAAATGAGCTTAAATTTGCCGGCTAGTTCTCTTCTCACGCCCTCTTTTATTAGCGCCACTGCGGAGGTCATGGAACTGCAGCCGACGCACAGCACTAGGCGGGACAAGTATCCAAGCGCAAATCTACGCTGACTGAACATGCACCATAATTCAACTTTTACAGTCTCAAAACTGAGTCGGACGTATTCCTCTATCATTTACCACAGGTTCCATCTCAATGCCAATTATTGCACAGAACAATCTCTGTACTGTTCTCTAGTATTGTGCAGCACTACTTTGTGCCCGGACTACTTTTGACTACGGTTACTGTGTTGTGTAGCCTCAAGCCATGTGCATTATAATATATACATGTAGCATGCTTGTAATGTTGTATGTAATGAATAAATCATTAAAGTTTTATGCAGGACTCAAAATACTTTTTCTGCCACCTGCACTGCTACTCTCATCTGCCGAATAAACATACGGGTACGCTTATTTTTTGGGCCAAAACATCCACCCAGTACGTTCTTATTTTGCACAGTACGTTTATTAATTTTTGAAAACCAGTAATTTTTTTCAACTTCGTGTGAAAAAAATTGACAAATCATCGACGTGAAGACGTTTATAAATGTGTATTGTAGCGAGAAACTCGTCATTTTCGGGCCGGTTTTTGCAATCACCGCGTGCATAAATTCGTCTGAATGTTCTATTGTCATGGGTGGTGCTTATCAAAATACGAAATATTAAATGCTCTTTTTTTTTGTCTATTTAAATTCCTAATTGCAAATAACAGTTAAAGATTTGTGCATATATCAGTAAGGGCGCATTTTAGTACAAGAGACACAGGTTACCCGTCAATTTTGGTAATTTTCTGGGGGGTACGTTTATTCCGGGGGTATGTTTATTTGATTTTGAAGGCTTGTCCGGGGGGTACGTTTATTCCGGGGGGTATGTTTATTCGGCAGATGAGAGTATACCTGCTAGTGGTGCAGCTAACAAGTTTGTAAAAATTTCCTGTCCCAGACAAATTCTACTTGCACCAATTTAACTTTAGAAAGTATGGATCATGATTTAAAAAAATGTTCAGAAGCCATATTTATATATTGCCAATTTACTTCTACTTCATAGGTTTCAACAGTCAATACAGCAAACAACTAGAAAGGCCAATATTTCGTTTGCTTCGGAGCAAATACAGCGATGGGTTCACCACATTTTACGACATGGCAGGGAAAGAATGAGAAACACAAGGGAAAACAATGATTTACATTGATATAACTATAATATGAAGTAACATACAACTAAAACAACAGTTGGATAGCTATCCCCTACTTTATTGGTTAGGATTTTTAATTGCATAATGCAAACTGTTGATTTTCAAAATAAATAAAAAGCGTTCATGCCCCGCATTCCAATGCTGGAGCAGAAAAGCTTGAAATACCTACCAAAACACTTGAATAAAGACATACTGTCAGTATGGAAATGCTCTGTGCAGGTGTTAATCAAGTTAAATCCCAACAGCCAATCAGCAAGAAATGCTCTGTGCAGGTGGAAATGCTCTGTGCAGGTGTTAATCAAGTTAAATCCCAACAGCCAATCAGCAAGAAGTATAGAGGAAAGCTGCATGCCTATTGGTTGATGCCCTGCATTCCATTGTGATGACTCATGCCCAGACGTGGTAAACACAGCACACTAACACAGTTATACATTTGCTATAACACAGCCAAAAAACTCAAATAAAACCATTCTAAAAGCCTGTATCACAA